CCTAATTGTTTTTCTGTTAAGTTTAAAAAATGGTTTAAATAATAAAATCTTGTTTCACATGGTGTAATTCATTTCAGCTTCAGCTAAAAGTGCAGCATGCATGTCTTATGAAACAGGATAGCATGTTCTGAGCTGGAGCAGACACACGGAGATCCCCGAGTCCAACTCCTGGCCCAACAATCCCAGCCTGAGCCCGACTGTGTTGCCAAACAATTCTTGAGCTCTGGCAGCCTTGGGGCCATGACCCCTTCCCTGGGGAATCTGTTTCGTTGGCAGAAATGGTTCTGGCCCTATCTGGAACACTGATACACATTGTTTTCTTCAGTAGTACAATTATTTAATTTCTTATTGGCCAGACATTCACTTCAGTTTGAAGCTTCAAAGTAAAAAGCTAAGGAAAAACTAAGAATAGGTGAACTGAAAGTATGAGCTATGCTTTTATCCCCAGGTTTTGTCAAGCAGTTTTCTTCAAGGCAGATAGGCCTCTAGAGTCAAATGTGATGCAAAGTGCCTCAAGTTAACATTTTATTGGAAAAGTTCAAAAGCTCTAGTTAACAAGATCAGCTGTAGTACAAATATAGATTTACGTGCACAAACTAAACAATAAAAACATCTTCTCATGATTGCTGTACATTAGTGGAAGATTACTCTTAGCTATCCACTTTGTGAAGAAAATGGAACAGAAGCTGAGTTAGGAGAAACAGCTCTAAAAATAAAGGACAAATGATAATGAGGCTCTTCTTTCTAACAGGCCTCTCTAAGGAGACAAAACAAAGTGAAAGCTCTCAAGCTTTAAGGAGTTCAGTTTTCCCATGTCTGTTCATGCTTGCAGTCACATGGTCACAGCACAGAATCAGGTCCAATTACAGAATCACATGTTCTGCTCATCCTTGAATTCCAAGGAGTTGGCATTCACTGAATAACCAAAACTTCCCACAAAGAGCAAACGTCATCCTCCCTGTCAAAGAGCTCAGCAAGGTATCTTGAAACATGGATAAACATTTGCTTGGAACTAAAATCACACAGAAGGAACTTTACTCGGCATCTGTCGACTTATAGTGATCATCATCCACTGTGGAGTAGATGTGTCCCTCGCTGCTGAGGAATTCCACAGCTTGCCTTGAAGAAAAACCCCACAGCTGGTAACTACTTAGCAATTAGTTAGCAAAGGGAAGTAAGTCACCACCTTTCTGCCAAGTGACTCCCATTACAGACCCCATATCCCCACAGTTCCCTCTGCCAAGGGAAGCTCTTGGTGTCTGTGCCGTGGGTGGTGTGACACAGGAAATTTCTCCAAAGCTATGGCAGTGTGCTCCCCCTGAAGCTCAGGCTCTGCTTAAGTCACCACTCTGCACTTCATAGGCAGCAACCACCACTCTGCTCCAGAGGGAACAGAACATACATGTCACCCTCGGCCCAAGAATGACACAACAGATGAGGACACCGTGTGAAAAGGAATAAAAGAAAGCCTTAATGAAAGGGAAACTTCTGCTTAAACAGACCCATATGACACATTCTATTTGACTGGCTAATTAATAAAAACATCTTTCTCACACACTGTCCTTGAGAAGAACAGAAAAGCAAGGTGGAAAAACACTACTTGAATATTGTTTAGACCAACAAGTTATCACATTCCTATGGCTCTCTAAAAATTCTCACAAGCCACTGTGAGAAAAACAATTGCCATTTCTCTCTCCCTGACCAGGCTGGCATCCACACATACAAAGGTCATGGAAGCTAATGACTACTTTTTTAAGTCTCAAGAAGATGTTGTAAGAGATGGTGAAGTAGAATAGGAGAGACTATTCCTAGATTTTTATCAGTGTGCAGAGAACAAGGTAGTCTTTGAACAGGAGAAATGCTACTGAGGCACTGCAGTACGTTGCCACTGAACTGATAAAAGGCTTGTTTTGAAAACAAGGAGCAAAGCAACTGGCAACAGCTCATTCAGGGCAGTGAATCTTTCAACAGCTCTGGCTCCTGTGCTGCTGGGACCACCTGAATTACCCACCCTGACTCACAGGTGAGTGTCTGGACTTGTCCACTGTTCTCTGCCTCTGGAAGGACTGCCTGGATTTCCATAGCATCCTTCATTTCTACACACTTACTTGATTGTTGACATACTCATACTGTGGAGCTGGAACTTCAAGTCCTGTAGACTCATTCCCTCTGGGACATGGCAGCTTTTGATCAAGTTCAGCACCTGGATGAGCAAGAACCACACTAGATCACACTGGAGCAGCCTCTGCTGCCACTGCTGTGCTCCCAGAAGAGCTGCTGGCACCCACCTGGCTCTGGTGCGCCGTGAGCCCGTTCACTGGCAGGCTGCCACCTCCTCCGTAGCCCCCCATGTCACTTATCCCAGTGGAGGAAAATGACTGTGGCCCTCTTGATGCTGACTGGAATTAGGAGAACAAAAGTGCTGTGGTTACCCAGGCTGCCCAAGCCTGCAGTGTTAAAGACTCACTGTTATTTCTAAGCCAGTAAGTAAAAATAGCTTCTTATGGAAGTGGATTGCAATCTCTCTCCAAGGAAGCCAGGACTCCTGTTACACCTTCAGCGTTGCTCACCTTTAAGCTTTCCAGCCCCAAAATGAAGGAATTTTCCCAGTGAAAGGTCCCTCTTTGGGAGATCACCAGTCACCCAGGAAGGGCCACAATAAAATCAGGGTCTTTGTACGTACCATAAGATTTTTTCTGAGGATCATATGTGCATTGACAATTTCCAGTATGTGTGTGGTGAACTCATTCATATTTTCCAGAGGCATGATCTTAAATGCTACCAAGCTCTTCTTATTCTTTCAGAGGAAAAAAACAAACACAAAACAAAGAAAACAATTTACAGCACAGCAACATGACGATGCCTAACAGCCAACCCAGCCATTTCCTCCAGCAGGGTGGGACAGCAGTGGGGAAAGACCTTCTCTGTATGTAGCTCATCCAAAATGTTCTGACACACCTCTTGTGCTGGTTTGGGCTAGTAACATGGGCTGGTGTTGGACTTGTGCTGGAAACATTGTTGGTGACACAGGGATGTTTTAGTCATTACTCACCAACCCTTGCAAAGAGCCAAGGGCTTTCCTGCTTCTCACACAACTCTACCAGTATTAGGCTGGGAGGGGACAAGGAGCTGTGAGGGAAACAGCTGGTACCTCCACTGCCCCACGGGAGAGACCAGCCAGTGTCATGCTCAGTTAAAAAACTGGTGAAAGAAGGAGGAAGATGCACACCTGCCTGCCCATGGGAAGCATGGAATGAATTCCTTGTTTTACTTATTAAACTGCTTTTATCTGAACTCATGGGTTTTTTCACTTTGACCCTTCTGATTCCCCCATCCTACTGGGAGTAAGCAAGAAAGCAGTGGGGGAGAGATGTGATTTTGAAAGACAATGGAGACAGTGACTCCTCTTTCTAAGCAGCTGGGAATTATCTGCACCTTCCCTAAATGCACATACACCTTTATTTGAATATTTGTGCCACATGGAGTGCTACAAGATTCACACACAGGTACACACACACTCTTACCTGGAAGGACCGAAGGTGACCAGCCACTTTAACGTAAGTTCCTGGAGGTACCACAACATTCTCACCTCCTGCCTCCTAACAGACAGGGAAAAACAGGTTTGCTGTTTCCTGTTTCCATTTCTCAACAGTCACAAGAAGCAACTTAGCAAGGAAGGCTCATCTCAAGCAAGCACAAACAACGTGCATTCCTATGTCATGCTAAACTTGCAGTAAGACTGAACATCTGCCTGGTTACCCTCCCAAAACTGTTCAAGTGAACTCAGCTATACTAAACAGGCACAGTCATATACACCGCCAGTGATCTCTGCTGCAGCAGGACCTCCCTTTGATTTCAGGGACATGTTATCCCTAAAATACTTTCCAGAAAAGCCACACCTTTTGGGTTCAAAAAGCTCTGTGAGAAGTAGGGAGTTGGTGTTCATCAATGATCCGAGACACTGTATAATTCTACAGCTTTTGTCCACCCACTGCTCCCCAGAGCTGCTCAAGAAGCCTGTTCCTAGCAAATCCAAAGCTTACATCAGTATCAACCCACTGCCGGACGTCCATCGGGGCTGCCGTCATGTCGTCCACTTTGTAGAGGATGTTGGTGGGCGCCTTCTCCGCGTGCCGGACGATGCCCACCACGGTGACCTGCGGCGGGGGAAGGAAGGGTCGGTCACTCGGGCCGGCCACGAGTGACCTGCGGCGGGGGAAGGAAGGGTCGGTCACTCGGCCGGCCACGGCTGCTGGCGGCCGCCACCGCCCCGGCACCCACCTGCGAGATCTCCACGTCGCAGATCCGGAAGGTCTCGTCGACCTGCTCGGCCGCCAGCAGCTGCGACACGGTGCAGGGCACGATGTTCTGCGAGCGGCTCCGCTGCGAGCGGCGGAGGGGCCGTCAGAGCCGGTCCCGGCCCCGGGCCCCGTCCCGCCGGCCCCGCCCGGCCTACCTGCTTCTTCTCCGCCTGGCCTCCGGCGGGCGACCCGAACCCGCCCGGGGACTGCGTGTAGCCGCCCGGGAGCCCCGCGCCGCCCATGCTGCCGTAGCCGCCATCGAAGTTCCCTACGGGGGGAGAAAGAGGGAACGTGACGCGGCGGCGGGGACACGGTCCTCTTTCCCAGCGCTGCCGCCATCACGGGAAGCGGGGCCCTCGGAGGGGGTGTCCCCTGGAGGGTCCCCCGGCCCCGCACCGTGCCCGGCCCCGCACCGTGCCCGGCCCCGCACCGTGCCCGCTCCACATGGCTGCGCTCCGGACCGCCGCCGCCGCCGCCCGCGCGCCGGGCCCCGCGCGCCGCCGCCTGCCCCCCAATCCGGGAGCGCCGCTCTGCCGGCCGGCAGCCAATCGCATCCCTCCGCCTTCCGGCTCTGTCCAATAGGAGAAGAGCGCGGGGAAGCCGCCGCCGCCGCCATTTTGAGGACGGGCGCTGCCCGGCCTGGCACGGAAGAGGGGGCGGGGCCCTGTGAGGGCGGGATTGTGGTGAGGGCGGGACTGTGGTGCCGGCCGGCTCCCGGTGAAGGCGGGATTTTGGTGAGGGCAGGATTGTGGTGCCGGCCGATCCCGGTGCCCGCGGCGGTCTCTGCCATGCAGCCCACACGCGAGCTCCTGTTGCTGCTCTTGCCGTACCTACTGGCCGTGGCTCTGCCCGGTGCGGTCGGCGGCTCCGGGAGGTTCTGGCACCTCACGGACCTGCACTGGGACCCCGGGTACGAGGCGGCGGCGGCAGCGGGACGGCCGTGCCCCTCGGGCGGCGGTCGGGCCGGGCCCGCCGGGCCGTGGGGCAGCTACCTGTGCGATGCGCCCTGGAGGCTGCTCCGCTCGGCCGCCCGCGCCATGCGGCGCCGCCTGGCCGCGCCGGACTTCGTGCTCTGGACCGGGTGAGAGGGGCCGGGCCCGCCTGAGGGACCCCGGGGCTGGGCGGGACAGGGGCGGCGGAGCCCGCACGGAGCCCGTGGTGTGTCGGGGCTCTTTACGCGGTTCCCGCTTTGAAAGGGAGAGCGTGCCTTGTAATGCGAAACAAGGGCTTGGAGGAAAGCACAACCCCAGCGAGGGCGCTCGACGCTGGCGAGACGCTCGTGGCAGTGAGATGACAAAACACTGTCCGTCCTCTGTGCATCCTGTCCGATCCCACAGTGAGTCGTAGCACCTGGAATGCCCAGGGGAAGCAGCTGTGGGAGGAGAGTACTGTAAACCAGCTTGTAGCGTTTCTTCTGGTTGCGAGGCGGCTGGGAGACCTGAAGGGACAGTTCTGCTTCAGGAGTCAGAGGAACCTCCCCAGTGGAGGATGTTTCTCTCCTAGTATGGGTTCCAGGGGTGGGTTCCCCTGTCCTCTGGGAGGCCCCAATAGCATTTGCAGATGGTAAAAGTTTTGTTTTGCGTAGTGACTGTGTAGATAGCCTTCTTCTGATAGTGCAGTCTCAACTTGCTGTAATCTCCAGTTCCAGTTTGCAGGGCTGTCACCTATCTCATGTTTTCATTTTCTGTCCCTGAAGATGCCTGTTCTTACTTAGATGTAGTTATTGGTTCTTGTGACCTTATGTTGAGTATTCTTTTTCCCTCAAGCAATTTTCCCCAGCCCTCTGACATGATTTTGAATGTTCTTTCTCTCCAGTGGGCTTGTGGACAGTCCAGCATCATCTACAAATGCTGTACAGACACAGACATGGAGCAGCCCTAGATTGCTGCATTACTAGAGGCATTTCCTTGTTTCATGGTGATCACAGCTGTGCAAACAGCTCTGCCTCATTATTGCAGATCAAATGCCCTCAGATTGCAAAGTGCTGACCCTTGCAGTGTTTCCAGGCAGCTTTAGTGCTGCCTAGAAGGAGGGAGCCTCCCCTTCACGCCCTTTTGCACAGGAGTTTTAAGGTAAAGCGAATCCTGGAATCACAGAACAGCCTGAGCTGGAAGGGACCCACAGGAATCATGGATTCCAACTTCTGGCCCTGCACAGACACCCCAGCAATCCCACCCTGTGCATCCCTGAGAGTGTTTTCTGAGCACTCCTTGACTCTGGCAAGTTTAGAGTGGAGCTCATTTTCCCTGTGAGCAATTTCTTGAAACTCCCTCATTGTCTTGGCCAGTCAATATAGCACTGACTTCTGCACCTAAAAGCTTAAACTTTCTCTTCTAGGAGGCACAGAGAGGAGTTGGCAAGTTCTGTGCCCTGCTCATTGCTGTAAGCACAGACCCTGTTAGTCCCAGACAGTGACTGTGCTGCTTCTCTTTTTCTAGAGATGACACTCCCCATGTCCCCAATGAGGAGCTCGGAGAAGAAAAGGTTCTGCACATAATAGCAAATCTGACTTCTCTGATAAAAGAGACATTTCCAGGTAGGATTTGAGGAGATGAGAAGGGGAGAGGAGCATAGAGGCTCATGGGAAAGGTTAACCAGGATGGAGAAATGACAGAAGTGGGACAGGGAAAGGGCTGTGGTCAGTGGGACTTGTTTGGTGGCCTCAATTCTGCTGTGCCATACAGCATTGATGCACACTCATGTTTCAGGTTAGCTTACTCAGGAGAGGGGAAAGGAAGGGTTTCTGTTGTTAGTAATGAAGGCAAAAAAGGCTGCAGGAAACTCTCAGACATAACCTGTGTCAGCAGGGGGCAAGGAGCATTACTGCTGGTGACAGCTCAGTCACTTGGCTCTAGGTGGCTTGTCCCAGGGGCGGGTCAGAGCCATGTGGTGCCCTGGGCAGTGTCAGCCCGGGGCAGAGGATGGCTGCCTTGGCAAAGCTCTGTTTCCAAGGCTGGGAGTGCCTCGGGGAGCTTGGAGGAGCTCTGCACCACTGACCTCCTGCCCCTCCTTGGCTCTGTGTCCAGGTACCAAGGTCTACGCAGCGATGGGCAATCATGACTTCCACCCCAAGAATCAGTTTCCTGGGAAGGAGCACAGGATCTACAAACAAACAGCAGAGCTGTGGCAGCCCTGGCTGAGTGATGCCTCTCTTCCTCTCTTCAGAGCAGGTCTGGCACCACTGGCTTGTGTTTAGAGCATGCTGGGGATATGAGGAGGGGTAGGAGAATACCATGAACGATTTTCCTTGTTTCTATGCTCAGAGCAGCATTATTCATAGAAAATTTGCAGAGGTAGGGTCCAATTTAATGCTGATTTCTGTCTTGGAACTCTGCTTGCAAGAAGAGAAATTATTTTATACTTTAGTCTCTTCTGCCATTATCAAGTTACTGGAAAGAATGCAGTGGTGACCTGCAAAGGGAGGAAAAATATCTTTAAAGGTGGCAGCTGGTGCAGGCAGTGCTGGGGCTCTCCAGAGCTGCCCAGCTCCTGGTGCTGCCCATTGTACCCATTCAGGTCTCCCTTCACTTGGGGAGACACACAGGAAAGACTCACTCCAAATCCACATCCTGGAGTGGTCAGGGCACCGTCCCAAGCAGTGACCCTGCTGTGGCTGTTGCTAAGAAGAACAGAGAGAGGTGGAAACAATGGGATCTGGGCTCACAGCCACCCATGTGAGCTGATCTACAGCTCTTCCTCTGTTGGTTTCATTTTTAAGGAGCTTTCTACAGTGAGAAGCTGCCTGGCCCAGGGATGAGGGGACGGATGGTTGTCCTCAACACCAACCTGTACTATGACCAGAATGATGAGACAGCTGGTGAGGAGGATCCTGGGGGGCAGTTCCAGTGGCTGGAAGAAACACTGACCAACGCCTCTAGAGCAGATGAAATGGTATTAAAAAGACTGAAAAAATAAAGCTTCTCCCCAGCCTGGAAGCTCTTCCTGCTCTGCTCCCTCTGGGTGCAGCTGCAGCTGGCTGGTGCTCCATGGGTGGTGTGGGCTTTGTGCTCAGGGCAGCTCTTGCTTCTGTAGGTCTACATTGTGGGACATGTCCCCCCTGGCTTCTTCGAGAAGAAACGGGGCAAGCCCTGGTTCCGGAGGGGCTTTAACGAGCGGTACCTGGGCATTGTGCAGAAGCACCACAGTGTGATTGCTGCCCAGTTCTTTGGGCACCATCACACCGACAGCTTTCGCATGTTCTACAGCCCCACAGGTACCTGTTCTGGTCACCCGAGCACCTGTGTGACAGCTCTCACAATCACTGTCCATCAGAGCTTTTAGTGGCTGTTGGCTAAAAGCGGCTAAGAAGCCAGCAAAAGCATCTGACATGCTTTGGGCAACAAGAGGCAACAGTGATTCTCATCTCTACCCCCAGTCTGTAGCTCCTGCCCTCCTTCCTATTCACCCTCAAATATTATTTTGCCTTAATGCTTGGCAGCTTCTTGCCTGCTCCCTCTTGAGGGGTTTGGGCATTGCTGAGGGAGCAATGCTGAATCTCTGTGTGTGTGTGGGGTGCTCTGGGCGAACATCTTTGCCGAGTGTGGTTCCCTGGCCACCCTCACTGCAAGAGGCTTTGCCAGCATTGGAGAGCCCATTCCCTGTGCTCAGTCCCCAGCATGGTTCCACGTGTTAATCTCTGTGTGTGTGGTGGTACTGGGAGCTGGTGACAAAGGTGCTGTTGGCAGTGCAATCTGCTCCAGGGGCTCACTGTGATGGGGACAGGGTGTGGGACAAGCCGTGGTCTCCAGTCACAGTTTGCTTTGCATTTCTGTGAAGGTACTCCAATCAATGTCATGTTCCTGGCCCCTGGAGTGACTCCCTGGAAAACAACATTACCTGGAGTGAGCAATGGAGCCAACAACCCTGCGATTCGGGTGGTCAGCTATGATCAGGACACCCTGCAGGTCTTGGTAGGGAATCCTGTGTGCACCACACTGCAGCTCTGAAACAACTTTAATTCCCCCTGTAGTCAGAAGAGGCCTTTCAGGATTTCTCAGTCCACAGAAGCTGAGTGGCTGTGTGGGAGAGGATATTTCAGCCTCGTGTCTGGCACAAAGATTTAGTCAGAGTATCAGTGAGTCAAAGCATGGCCCTGGCAGCCAGTGCATCCTGCTGGGATGATTTTCCCTAGGCAGGGTCAGACAGTTTTTGTGGTGTTCTTCATGTCTTAGTAAGTTTAATTTGACACTTGCTTTGCTACCCGGATAATATGGGTCACAGAACTACTCTTTGAGTAATAACAAACTTGTCAGACCCCCTTCAAAACCTTTAAACCATCTGAAAAATTGTGTCCCTCTACTTGCTAAAATGATGCATTTGGAGTGGATCTAAATTGAGGATGAATTGTAGGGACAGCATCTGTTTGCCAAGAGGTGGAGGATGGGTGGTTATGTCCTCCTTTGTAGTGGATGAAGCTCTCTATAGTTGCTCTGTTTACATGTTTATAGCATAGAAGTGAATGCTAAACTACTCTGTGCAAGGCTGGGGAGTCAGTGAAGCAGAGAGAAAAAGGGCAAAGAGACAGAGAACAGAAGCTGTGAAAAACTTGATTCTTCAGTTTGTTCACAGCTGGGAAGGAAACTGCTCGGTAACACTCGTGTAAGCCCTTGCTTCTGCTGCTGGGTACTGTTGATAGTAACTGACTCATGTCTGAAGCAGGCTAGGCTCAAAGCTTCTGATGTTTGGAGGTCAAAGTCAAGCAGAGCAAAGCCACGCCTTCACTCCTTAGGAAACAGCTCCATTTGGGGTGGGTTCTGGAGGTGCCCATCTGGGTAGGAAGCCCTGTCAAGGCCAGCTGGGCCCTTGGGGTAGGGGCTGCTGCAGTGGGGGCCAAGCCTGACCCAGTGTCTCACTCCAGAGCCATCTTGTCCCGGTGTCTCCCCAATTCTGTTTTCTCTCCCTCAGGATATGGTGACTTACTACTTGAACCTTACTCATGCCAACAAGATGGCCTCAGCATGGCAGGAAGAGTTCCCAGAGTGGGAAGAAGAGTACAGGCTGACAGAAGCCTTCCAGGTCCCTGATGGCTCTGCACACTCCATGCAGACGGTGCTGCAGAGGCTCTCCAGGGACCCCCACTACTTGCAGCTGTACTATGAGTTTAACTCTGCCAGGTATGACCTGGAGCCCTGCCAGCAGGAATGCCGTGTGGATCACCTGTGTGCCATCAGGGAAGTCGATTTTATGAAGTATGATGAGTGTGTGAAAACCAACAGCTCTGCCTCTGCTGCCAGCAGCGTTTGGCTTTTGGTTTTCTGCGTGTTCGTAGGATTTCTCAGTCCTCAGCGAGTGCTGTGATGGCCAACAGCAAGAGAAAAGGAGGGCATGAGATCACACTACACTACATGTGAATTGGTGATTTTGGCATTGAGAATTTGCTTGGAAAACAGGACAAAATTGGCAATGTTTACTAAAAGCTGTGTGATTTGAAATTTTCTAGAGAAGCTTGATGTGTGAAGAGTAATGCTTTTGAAAGCCTTATTGACTGCAACAAGGAGGGTCTCCCCTCTGCCAGGACTGCTGGGGCAGCCTCACAAGTCAGATGAAGACCAAGTCTCCCTATGGACATGAACTGGCAAGGGGTGAGGGCAGGGAGCTGCCACATGTTCCAGAGGCTGCTGCCAGCATTTCTTATTTTGGCACACACTTTGGCAAGTCTGCACAGCTGGTGACTCTGGAAGTCTTGTTGTGGTGGCTTTGTTCCACAGCAAAGCGAGGTGGGGCAGGGTGACAGCCCAGAGAGGCCAGGGCAGGCTGCAGAGCCTGTGGCAGGGGACGGTGCCTCAGCCTGCCCAAGGCCTCGCTCTGTTGAAGGAGCAGGCGGAGCAATGGGAGCAGCAGAGCTGGGCTCTGGAGTAAACTTACAAAGAGAATTGTGCCAGAACCAGATAAAACTCGACTCAAAACAAAAGCAACCACTGTTCAAAATCCACTGTTAGGTGTCACTTGTGTACCGAAGTGCAGCATGAGGCAGCAGAGCAGGTCACAGCTGGGGCAGCTTTAGGAGCTGCAGCCTGAGGCAGCCCAAGGACAAGACCTGCAGGGAGAAGGGAACTTTGCCATGGCAGGATCCTCCCATGAGCCACAGCACGACAGGCAGGCTCAGCTGTACCAGTGCACACTGGAATGAACACACTACATTCTCCAACCTGGCAAAATCTGCATTTAATTTACAACATAGTAAAGGTTACAGGTAAAAAGCTCAACAGAAGTGTGAAAAGGCCTATTACATATTACACAAGTGTACAAATGTCTGTACAAAGCTCCTTGATGTTCCTGTCCCCTCATGGCCAGCTGTGGCTTCTAAGCTCTGAAATAATAAGAGCTGGTTCAGAGTCTGAGAGGAGAAGAGCTTTAAAAAAATGAGCAGTGAAGTTTCCCTTGTCAAGAAAAATCTTGCAAAGAGCCACTTGCAAAAGAAAAAAAATCCCAAAAAAACCCCAACCCTCTTCCCCACAAAATAAAACAAAAAAACCCAAAATAAAAAGAAGGAAACCTGCTCAACTTTTGTTTATCCTGACTAATCTTACTCTAAAGAGTTGCCTTCAGAAAGCAACTAGCTGGGAAATGAAAACTATACAGGCCAGACTAAATAGATGAAATTTTGAGTCATTGTGGGAGCACTGGGAAGCAAACAAATGCCCAACAGCTGTATCATCAATGGCAACTTAAACACAGAGCAGCACAGCTGGATCATGGAGCAGGTGCTGAATCCACACAAGGAACAGTCTGAGCTGCATGTGATGGTGTGGGGAGGGAACAGAACAGTCTCTAAAGCCATGGCTCTTGTGAGCTGGGCAGCTGCCTGCTGGCACCTCAGGGACATGATAGAAGCAATCACTGTGGAGCAGAATTCAGATTTTGGGGCATCTGTCTGAAACGGGTCTGGTGCATCTGTCATCCCATCTCAGTGGAACACAGCACGGATCCAGCACCATCCAGCATCCCAGCTCACTGAACAGCCCTGCCCCAGCAACCTGCCCCTACCTCCCCAAACAGCTGCAGTCCTGCACACAGGGAACAGCCAGGTACATGCTCTCATTTTGGTGCACATTTCCTGGATCCCCAAACAGCAAAGGAATGTAACTTGTAGCTGAACTGCATTAGAGTGTGTACAAAGCTCTGGCCTTACCTTGCATAAAGTACAGCCACAATATATCTGAGTATGTGAATAATTTTGAAATATAAACCCAAGGAACTAAAGGGCTTGAGCAATAACCCAAGTCCACTGAGAATTCCTATTCTGGCTCTCAGTAGCACTCACTTCTCTCCTGCAGTTCCCAGCAGCCAAAATATTAGGTGTGGGGAACACACCAATCCTCCCAGCTTTTTGTCTTGATGAATCTCATATACTCTAAAGTTCCATTTGCAAATAAAAATGAAACTATTTCAGTGACAGGGGCCATCAAGTCTCAAAGAAACTCCACTGTGTTAACTTCACCCTGAGTTATCCAGGGGAGTCTCCACGGCACAGTGCCTGATCCTGTTGGACACCCCGACCATTTGCACCCTGTATCCATCCCACAGACCCTATTCTGCAGCACTGGAACAAAGCTAAGGAACCCACCTGCTTCCCTGCTTATCCATCTCAACTCATGGGATGATCTAGTGTTTTATGTGGAAATCAAAACAAGCTGTAGCTGAACTAATAATAATAATAAGACAATGCCCCACACTGGTGGGGTTTTGAAAATATAAAAAATAAAAGCTGACCTATATTCTGCAAGTTTTACAACTCCTTCCAATGGTATTCTGCAAGGCTTGGCCCCACAAACACTTCCTCTTGACAGAGCTGCCCTGCAGTGAGAATGTCCAGCAGGAACAGTGTCACCACAGTGAGCTCAGCACTGAAATACATGGACCTGCAGGGTCATGCCGTAAGTGACAATGAAATTGTGTGACTGCCCCTTTGACTCGTGGATCCAAACTCCGCACAGAGACCTCTGGGACAGTGGTGGCTAAGAAAAGGCTGTAGGGGTTTTGGTTCAAAAGGAGACAGGAGCTGTATTTTTTTTTTTTATAACAGACATATAAAAACATTTGAAGACAGATCTTTAAAGCATATTTCACTCCTCCAATCTTGGTATTACATCTGTTAGGACACTGAAATTTTAAAAAGACGATACCGCACATGAAAAGTTTCTGAAGTTGGTAACTCCTACCCTCCCTAGCCCAGCTCAGATCAGCAGGGACGGGGTCGGCTTCTTGCCCGGCCAGGCCTCCTTGGCATATTTCTTCTTCTTGGGTTCATTCACAGCTTCAGGGTTGAAGACAGCGGGGTTTGGAGCGGGGTTCATGTTCACTGTGGAGGGCACAACTGGAGTCAAGTCCACATCGGGGGCGAGGTTGGGGTAGGGCATGGGCAGCCCCCCGATGAGCGCGGTGCCGTGCACGCTGTGGGACTGCGAGCCCGCCTCGTTGTGGGTGGGGGGCAGCCCCCCGTACAATCCTCCGCTGTAGGGGAAGCTCTGCATGCGCCGCGACGCCGACTCGTCCGTGGGCAGCGAGCCCGCGTTCTCCAGGCGCTTCTTCTGCAGGCAGGAGGAGTTCAAGAATCAGTCACAATGCATGAAACCATCAGCATGTTTAAACTGGGTGCCAAGACCACCTCCCCCCAGAGGCACCTAAATCTGCCACAAAGTGCCAACAGACCAGTCCCAGTCTTTGTCCTACAAAGTTCCCCTGAAAGTTCTAGTTCCCCTGAAAACCACAACAATAACTCTTAGAGGTGCACAGTGCAGGAAGGGAGACAAAAGCTGACACTCAGATGTAACTTAGATGAAGTCTGAGCACCTCTTCACCTCCTTTACACTCCTGCCAGTCCCCATCCTGAACAAGGACCGAGCAGGTCACAGAATGTCCTGGGTTGGAACAGACCCACCAGCCCACGGAGTCCAACTCCTGGCCCTGCACCCAACACTCCAAGTCCCACCCTGTGCCTGAGAGCATTATAACACAAACCTTCCCTCCCCCACAGAAAGAAACTGCAACTTCTAGACCACTTGGGTAATTTTGCTCCTGATCACTGGAATCTTCTCCTGCAGTCTGGGTTTGTGGAATATAATCCTTTTCCACATGATGTTATTTAGTCTATACCACCAACAAGTGAAATTGCTGTTACACAGTGGCTTAGCTGCACTGAAGTTGTGCAGATCTTTCTTTTTCCTTACATATTCCAATTAAATAGAACACTGGCAGAACACTCATCTTGGAGCAAAGCCCAAACTGCTTATTCTAGTACACAAACTTATGAAATGTCGAACAAACTCTCATTTTTCCCTTCTATTTTCCACATTTCCCACAGTTTTACCTGACACCTGGAACTAATGCACTAAATTTCTAGAAAGTGTTTCTTTTTGGGAGGAAAAAAAAATCACCATTGATCCCATGTGTTATTAAAGAAAAAAGCTAAAGCTGGATTCAAAGGGAAACGGTCAAATTTGCTAAAAAAGACAACTGTGAAACACAAACATGACTTCTGCTTCACAGTGAAACACCTCCCATGTGGGAGCACTCTAAGGTGCAATTCATAAATCATGAAGTGAGTTCATCAATGTAATGTGCTAATGAGAAAGTCAGGAGTCACACCGTACCTTAACAGGGACCACTGCTGTCTGTACCATGTTCCGGAACCGCCCCACAGACGGGTCCACGTCCTCTGCAAAGCAAGAAAGTGATGGATCAGAGAGCACCACCAGGGATGCCACCAGTGATGCCATCAGTGAGCACATGGGAAAAACAACCTCTGTGGGGTAAAGGAATCTGTATGAAAAGCTGGAACAGACCTCCTCCTCCCAAAGCCAGCACTCCAGCACCTCCCAGTAAGCAGAAGTGTGAGCAAATAAAAGGAGGAACATCCAGTGGCTTTGTCTCCAGGTGGCTCATCAGGCACCCTGGCTTTCTCTCCAATGGAGAAGGGGAGCAGCTGGATGAGTGGTTTGGGATCAGACAAGCTGGCGTTTGGGCTGAAATCTGCTGCTGACAAGGCTCTGCATGTGCTACAGGCACAGCAGCTGGTCCCTAAAGTCCTTGGGGGGCCTTGAAGCAGGAGTCAGAAGCAGTCTCTGAAAGTCTGGAAAAATTATCTTTTTTTTGGGATGAGAATGATTGGTGTTTGCATTAGGATGTTCTGAGCACTGAACTGCATCACATTATAAACCAAAATGGTCGCTCTGGGTGCCAAAGGAACCACCTCCACACTGTATTTCAGAATACCTGCCTACTAATTAGCTGCTCTTACTAACAGGAATATTATCCAAATAAAGTATGGTTGATAAGAATGCCCTTAATACAGAACAGCTAAGGGAGAAAAAAAGATTAATTTGGAATTGGATATATCTTCAAATGCATCGGTTTGAATGAGGATTAGAAATGCCTTGGTTTAGATGTGCAGAAAAGTAGCAAAAACTCTCTAAGCTCACGACATCCCAGAGGCAACAGGAAAAGAAAATGTTAAAGGACAGGTGAAAAGCAAACAAGTTCTGTTCCCACTGAGATTCTAAAGAGGGCAACAGATGTGAACCACCTTCCTCTATTTGGACCCCTGACATTTCTCCAGTATGACAGAGTACTGAACAATGAAGCTGAGTTTGATATCCCCATCCTGCTCAGAGCTTGCAGTTACTTTTCAGGTAGAACAGAAGAAACAGAAAGAGGTCCCAGACTTCAGTGAAATGTGGTAGCAGCTTCTGTGAAATAGCAGATCCCAAATATTGGCTGCCAAATTTATCTTCTCCTTATCCATATGCACCCATGAGGAATCCCTATGAGCATGCTGGAAGGAGTCCTGAAGGGCATCAGCTGAGGATTAAAGCAAACTCCTTACCCGGGTTGATGATCTCATCGTCATCACTGAACGTCACTCTGGAGTTCTTCCGTTTTCGCTTTGGCCTCTGGATGTCCAAGTTTCCTTCCTCAATGGTCAGCGTGGAGATCCTTTTGTTGTGGGCTGTATTAAACTCTGTCAGATTCTAACAGCAAATTTAGAAATGAAAGAGTTTAAGCAACTAATGTATTAAGTCTGATGTAATCACATGACTGTGCACATCAGAAGAGCACAGGACATTGTTTAGTTTCAACCTCCCTGTTAGATTTATGGACTGATGATCTTAAAGGTCTTTTCCAACCTAAATTGTTGGGGAAGATGAAACAAGAAAGCCTTATAAATATGATTGCCTGGCAAAAGATTTAGAAAATATAGAGATTGAGATGGTAACAAGTTTTGAGATACCAAACCTTAGTTACTGCACAAGTAGAAAACAATAGTACAGCCAGGATGAAGACAAACCCCGCTTCTGGTTGAACAATGCCCTTACCTACAGATAGATCCAAAGGTCAAATGGAATGTTCTATCTCGCTCCCCAAAATGTTTGGGTCATCCCACACCTGTAACCCTCCCCTGAAGCATCAGGAGTCTGTGACCCCATTGGCCCAAGTCATGTTCCAGTCCACCTTGAAGCCCCTGACAAGGATTCCCTGAGGAGCCAGACGCCCTCTTGGAACTTCTGTTCTCTTGGAACTGCCCCTCTCCTGGAACATCCTCTTGGGATCCTCTCTTATCTCCCTCTGCCCCTTGCCTCTCCCTGTCCCCACTCCCTAGGGTCTGCCACGGGTCACGTCTGATGACTCCAAGCAGGGCCTTCCACCCTCTCTAATAAACCAGATATTCCAAGAGCAGCCTTCAGAGATCTCTGGTCTCCATCCACCCAAACCCTCCTGGAGTCCAGCATCCCCGCACTAAATGATTCCATGACTAAGCAAACGAGCAGGGAATGCTGTCCTTGCTGGAAATGCCATCAAGGCAGTGTGCCATCATACTCACATCCAGTTCTGTCTCCTCCTCTGGCAGCCCCAGCAAGCCCTTCAGCTCCTCATCCTCACCACCCATCTTCTCGTCCCCTTTCACTGCGGAGGGCAGCGTCTGCGGCTTCTCCCGCAGAGTGTACGCGCGGGTGGAGGCTCCGAAGGAAACCGTGGAGTCGATGGGGATCTGCTGGGGTTTGTGAGCTTCCAAACGGATGTGGCCCAAGAACGTGCCATGTGCTGAGGACATCAAAATGCAGAATAGTCTGCTGAGCTTGGGATCATGGTATTGCAGTTCAAGTTTGAGAATCTCAGAAACTGTAACAATTGTTCCAAGGTACAAGGCACTGAGGTACTGCTGAAAGCATCAGCTATATAGACCTACCATCTCACAAACTGAGATAACACACACCAGAAATCCTCAAAAAATCACTGGAAATAAACTACAAACACCTTTTACTTTCTGTATTCCAATGTACTGTCTGGACAGTGCAATAAAACATCTGACAGGTTTTAGAGCTTGGGAAATCACCCTCAGAAGACAAGGATTCTAAAATTATGATGGGAAGGTCAAGTCACTTTCCTCCTCTCCTTTGGCCTATTACAAGTTAGAAATGTTTGCCAGGGAGGCAACTGTAGGCTGACTGGAGCAAACACTCCTTTGCCTTAACCCTTGTCCTTCCCTACAATGCAAATTCAAATTATAACCATTTGCCCACAGTGCAGACAACAATGGAAAAGGAAAAAGTGTCTCATATTCAGAATGTTTAAGCACTCAAGTATAGCTCTTCTGTCTGGTTAAATGCCACACTACTTACTGCTGTTCAGATCTATGAGGAAAACCCTCTTGAGATGTTTGTGATAGACCAAGGCAGCATGGACCCGAGAGCAAGACTGGTGGTCAATGGTAAAATCACACAGATCAGGGTTTCTCCCAAAGAGATAGTATTTCTTCTCATCAATGATGAGTTTCTGAGGCAGAATATCAAACAGAGAAGAATATTAGACTCCTAGAGTATTTTGGATCTTCCTGAAAAAAATTCAAGAACAAATGTATAAATAGAGCAAATTCAAGACAAACCATCAACAGCTCATCAATATTTCAGTTTAGTCTGGCACTGTTAAATACATAAACTCAAGTCTGCTCTTTATAAAATCAGAACAGCTGAATATGGGAGAGTACCAGTTATTCCCTTCTTTACCAGCCAACACTGGACATTCTGGGAAGGACAGTCACTCTTCAAAGCATTAGACTACCTCATACAGGAGATTTTCTCTGACATCTGCTCCCAGAGATTTTAACACATTCCTCCATGGATGACTTCAGGCTTTGTCTAAGACAGGAACTGGTGCTTGGTGATCTCCAGTCTGACACAGGACATCAAAATTATACTTCTGAACAGAAATGGACCTACAGGAGAGTTCAGACCTCTGGTATAAAAGGACAAAACTATACTGAGTACGTGCTGTGATCTGAATCCGTATTAGTCTATTCAAGTAAACCATTAATTTCAGGTATTTCTTCTTTATTAATCCTAGTTCTAATATCTTTTTTAAAAAATACCTTACAACTCTTAATATCAGTTACATAAACGTCTTTATAAAGGGAGGGAGATGTTGACAAAGTCCTACAGTATTCAAGTGACCAAACTGTGTTGTTAAATGAACACTTGCACCTGAATGCTGCAATACTGAGAAGCATGTGCAGAACCTTCTCACTGCATCCCAAGAACTTCATCTAATCTGTACTTTCCTGTTCCAGCTGCACAAGGCAAAGGCTGGCTGCATGTTACATATCTGTTAACAGGCTTCTCCTGCTTTCTGAAACATTTTCCAAAGCCCAAACATGTTTCAATAGCATCATCCAGGGAATGCTGATACATCTTCCACATCTTGGTTCAGAAGAACACTGCTTTCAAGAGGTGGTCTGAGATGAACTAACATCCTGCCTGCTTGAGCACCTGGATTTCTCCCCCTGCCTCCCTGCATTCCCAGCTATTCAATCCCCTCCTTGATCCCACTGCCACATGTCTGAGCAAAGGTTTTGGCTTGCAAAGCCTTTTTTTCCCTGTGTTCATCTTCCCCTGTTTGGGGGCTGGATCAGTCTGCCTTTGCACGTCCCAGCAGCTCCACGGAAGCAGCAGATTCCAGGCACGGGGTGGGTGATCCCAGGATCTCCTCTCTGGCAGCAGCATTCCAGTCAGGCAGGTGTCTGCTCCTCCCCTGGCCAGGCACACACCAGGCACAGCTCAGCTCCAAGCAGCCAGTGTGTGGCCAGCCCAGGGGGCTGGGCTGGGGGTTCCTGAGCTGCCAGATGACACAAGGAGCACCCACACAGTCACTCGCCCTGGGGCACCACCAAGTCATACAGAAAACAAGGAGACAGACTGGAATAAGAACAGTATTTATACTCCTTTGTCTTATCTGTGAGGACAAAAATCCCACCATGGACCTCAGCTTCTACTGCAGATCACCTTGTCAATCACATCTATTCACCTACCTACCAGCTATGGTTTTACCACTGCTACAGTCACAAGTCACTTCCCCACTGTTTTTTTTCTGATTTTTTCCCCTATACACATGCTGTGTATTTTCCAGGTTGGATTTTCCAGCGTTCTACTGAATTATCTGTCAGCCCCCATGCTGCAAGTTCTCATCATCTGCTATTCACTAATAAGCATTTATTTATGCATGTTTAAAAGAATTAATTGAACAACCTGACTCCACACTTGTATGCATCATGACAATTTTATGATTGATTGGTCCCTTAGATAATACTCTGTTAAATGTCTTATTCCCCCCAACCCAAGGTATACAATTAAAGCATCAATTCATGACAGTAACTGCTTTGTGAAATCTACTAACTAACATATTTTGGCCTGCCATCTTATAAAAAAGAGCATTTAGGTGATCAAGGTGTGCATATTTATCAGCTCTAACACCCCCTACTAAACCAAGTAACTTCTAAACCTCTGGCCAGTTTCAACCAGCACTACAAGATTATTAAATTTCTAGCAATTCTGTAGAAACAAACAGCTAGACAGAATGATAACTCCATCAATCCCCTTAGTGATACACAGGCTGGCAGAAAATCCCAAAGAGTGCCAATACTTAGATTTCAACCCCCCAGAAAATCTCTGTGAGTCTACATCTCATTTATTAAGGCAACAATGACAGCTCAATTGGCAATTCATGTGTAAATACGTGGTCTATTGACAGATGAAGTGCAAATGCAAAATGCAAGTGATTTTCCTCCAACTGAGAGATGTAAAACATGCAGGTGTCTCCCCTGAATTGGTTTGTCTGGTGCAGAGCAATGCATCTCAAAGCCTCAGAATATTCAGATTAAAACCATGAGAAATCACTATATTGAGTTTATTGGGTTCTGCTCTCACATGGCCACTTTATCATCACTTTCTGTGTCTTCACAAATGCTGGTTTTCACAAGACCTCCAAATTAACCAAAGTATAAGCCACAGATGAAGAGCTTGAACTAGTATGTAGTCTCCTCCTGGTTGAATTTTATTTAATTTTTTAATTCCACCTGTAAACAGACCGCTCCACTTCCTCCCTGAATGCCTTTGTGAGGCTTTACCTTGCATTTCTTGACCATAATTTCATGAGTCTTACTGATATTTTCCCTTAAGATTAGAGTTGTTTCATCCAGATATTGATCCAAGAACAACATAACTGTTTGTTACATCACATCTTTTGGGGAACCCTGGTTAGGTTTTCTGAGGATTTAATTTCCCAGCATTAGATTTATATCCCATATTCTGCAGTTCCTTACTCATTTGGTTTAGCACTCTGACTCTTCCCATGCTCAACATCTTTGCACTAGTGAATTCTATGATTCCACAGTGTAAAAAAACAGAGGAGTATTAACTTTTCCTTTTATTGCAAATTTGAAAGTAAGTCTTATATAAACACAGCTCTGGTATCAAGTGGAAGCTAATTCCTGCACAAACACTGATCAGCTCTGCAACCAGTTACCTCACAATTTCAGTTACCATAAAAACTGATCAAACCATTTTTCCTTCTTGCCCACAGCTGAAACCAAAAGCATCCTGTAAGTTTTCATTTGCACCTGTTACACGCAAACAGTACTGCCCTGACTGGGCAGCACTTCCTAGAGATTTTGCAAAGACACAAATTCATGGCAGCTACTGCAACAGATCATCAACAGAGAAGACAGCTTTATTGCCTTCAATTCAACACTGTTTCCAAAATGTTCTGTGCCTCTGAGCTATAACCCAGTGTCTTCCTTCACACACTGAGCTTAAACACTGCATGGCTTGTTTTGCTGTTGCACTTTGCAGACCCAGCGATCACAGGGTGACCTCAGGCCTCTGCACGAGGCTGGGACACTGATGGCTCGGTTAGTATCAAGTGCTCAATACCTCACAGGATTTTACAATGCTCTTCCTTGGTCACTGCTGGCTACCAGAAAAGACAAAACTGAAAACCTCTCTGCCACCTGTATTGGACAGGGAAACAAGGATCACATCCAAGTGCTGCTTGCCTCGGTGCTATGGGATCTGGCAAGAATCTTTAAATTAGTGGGATTTGTTGGCAGTGGTACCTAAAAGCAGTGTTTCTTTCTTCTAGACAGAGAAGAGGAGCTGAGGAAAACACATGAGGGAAAACAACATGGTGCCACCAAGGTCAGTGGAGCAGGAGGGGGAGGAGGTGCTCCAAGTGCCAGAGCTGAGATTCCTCTGCAGGCTGTGGGGAGGACTATGGTGAAACAGCCGTGTCCCTGTAATCCATGAATTCCTGGGGGATGCAGAGATCCCCCCACAGCCTGTGGGGATCCACAGGGGATGCAGAAATCCTCCCACAGCCTGTGAGGATCCATGGGGGATGCCCAAGGGATGCAGAGATCCCCCCACAGCCCGTGGGGATCCATGGGGGATGCAGAGATCTTCCCACAGCCTGTGTGGATCCACGGGGGATGCAGAGATTACCCAGAGCCTGTGAGGATCCACGGGGGATGCCCAAGGGATGCAGAGATCCCTCCACAGCCCATGGGGATCCACGGGGGTTGCAGAGATCCTCCCACAGCCCGTGGGGATCCACAGGGGATGCAGAAATCCTCCCACAGCCTGTGAGGATCCATGGGGGATGCCCAAGGGATGCAGAGATCCCCCCACAGCCCGTGGGGATCCATGGGGGATGTAGAGATCCACCCACAGCCCGTGGGAAAAGGGCTCACACTGGAGCAGGTGGATGCCAGAGAAAGCTCTGATCCAGTGGAGACCCCAATGGATAGAGAGGGCCTTTTGCTTTCAAACTAGAGCAGCCCAGCCTTAAAAGACTGCACCCCATGGATGAGTGACCCATGCCACGGCAGTTTGGGGAAGACTGCTTGCCCATGGGACGGACCCAATGGCACAGCAGAAAAATGACTCCTCTCCCTGAGCAAACAGAAGATGTCAAGTGATGAACTGACCAAAACCCTCACACCCCCACCAAATCTCCCTGCACTGTTGGAGGCAAAGAGGGAGGGGCTGGCGGAAAAAAAGCTTATTTTACTTCTTGTTAGCCTCCTCTGACTCTTTTAAGAATATATTTACCTTATACCTTTAAATTTGAACCTGTTTTGCCCTTAGAGTGGTTTTTTCTCCCAATCCTTATTTCAACTCATGAGCCCTTCATTAACTTTTTTCCCTCTCCCTTGCCCAACTGTAGCAGGAAAGGATAAGTGAATGACTTGTTGGTGCCTGGTACTTGGCCAGTGTCAAACCACTACACCCAGAAATATTTCTGTTTTAGTCAGCTTCAATTTAGGAGTCTCTCCACAGCAGAAATACATTCATTGGTTCTGGTTCTTTCTGTCAACAATGGTAAAGAGACTTTATTTATTACTTTCAGTGTGATGTAAGTTAAAATATGAAATAGAGAATGAGGTGGTGCTGTAATAAAAATAACTTGCTGTATCTGTGCTGATTACAACACTGCTCACAGATCCTGAATGTGGGAGGAAAAATCAAATCAAAGTGTATTTCACCCTGTAGGACAGAGCAGCACTCTTGCAAAATACAGGATGCCTGGTTAATCTGACTGTAATGCAAAATAAAAAAATTAACTGACTAGACAGGTTTCTCAAACAAACAGTACAAAGGGAAGAGCTTTAACTGATGGAAGCCCTGCATGGCACAAGGCTGCTTTGCACAGACAAAAGAAAAGTCACTTCGTTCATTGTTTCAGAGGAAACAAAACTGATTTGAAGGTAATGAATACATGAGGGAAAGGAAATACTAATGAATAAGTGTGGAAAATGATGGGCAATGTTCTGTTACTGGTGCACTAATTCCATACCTCAATAAGTTTGTCTCCTTTGACTACATCCAGATGTAAGCCAGGTGGTGGTTTCCCTGCCCTGGAAAATAAAGGAAAAATATAGTATCAAAATACTTAATAGAAATTTTATTAGTATTAGAGCTGCTTGAGCTATAGACCAAACCTACACCAATGTAAGCAGAAGTATTTTGGGAAAAATATGAAAATCCCATCATTTTCTCACAGGGTAGCAGGAACATCTTGGGCACCTACAGTGCTCAAAGCCAGGACCCTGCTGTGCCACCTGCACCACACAGGATCCCTCAGCTCTGGGCACAAAGGATCTTTTTCTGCTCAGATATCTCAGAATATGCATCTCTAGTATTTCCTCACAGTAACATCTCTGCTGCTTGTCTCTAAGGCTGGACCAGCTTTCCAGGCAGCAGCAGTGACCTAGTTCTTGGCTGCCCTGCTGAGGAACTCGGCAGAGATCATGTTCCCATTCTGCTCAGTGCATGGAGCCAGCCCAGGGAAGAGTGACAATGGGCAGTTGTCAGGGTGGCTGCAGAAGAAAGAAAGGTCTGGTAGGTGAAGTTGTTTGAAGGGGTTAAATACAGATGTTCACATTTCTGGGGTGTGCCTTACATTTATTGGTTTCTTCTGTGTTGCAAGGTCAGCTCCCCTCAATAATTTCATGAAAGAACACAGTCTCCTGTTATTTCTACTTCATCTCTTTCCCAGGCATTTTCCTTTCTTGTTTCCAAGCCATTACACTATCCTGCCCAGATTACTCTGGCCCCTTCTCAACTGACCACTTGGGACTTTCACAAGTTTTCTTTTCAGGCCCTTCTCAAAGACTGTGGATTTACCACCCTAACAAGTATATGATTAATACTGACTCCTACTGTTTGGGATGAAAAAACAACAGCAGCAAAAGCAGAAGATGCTGAACTCCAGCACAATTTGCTGAAGTGGTGACTTCACCAGTGAAATGGGGTTATGGTGATGTGGGGGACAGAGCACCAAGCAGAAATGCTCCCAAAGGTGGGACACAGTCTGTGTGATGAGCTGAAGTTCCTCAGCACAGCCAGGGAAGCTCCTCCTGGGTACTGCTCGAGCAGCTTACAGCCAGGCTACACCTGAGCACTGTCTCCTCCTGTGCTCCCTGCAGATCTCAGTGCTCAGCTTCCACTGAAACACAGGCTCCTTTCATGGATTCCAGTCCACTTCTCAGCATTCCCTCTTTCTGCCCCTGAGCACTGGAAAACTTGTTTTCCCCCCTTCCTGTGAAATTGCCAAGTTCTGGTTACTCTGCAACCCAACTTTTTGGTAATTTTCACACACCAGCCTTACTCTGATCCAACAACAGCTACTTCCCCAACTTTTTTTTCCTCTTTCCAAATAGGTCAACCTTTCAACAAATTCATACTACAAGTCTACTTCTTACTCAGTTTAGCCTCTTGCTTTTCCTTTCCAGTGATCTCTTCCAGTGATACTCAATGGTCAGCCTGTCCTAACACATTTTAGCAACTTCCTCCCTGTACCTGTCAGGTCACAGGAGAGCCCCCAAGAGCTCCAGCACAGCTGAATCCTGTCTGATGGTCTTCTTTTGCTATATACCAGCTCTGCTTTATCACTGTCCCCTTCACCTTTAGTTTCACCCTGATCTTATTTTTACTCTGCCTCTACCCTCAACTTTATTTCCAACAGATAAACCAAGCCCAGCAGTATTACAAGGCAGTGCCTTCAGCTATGAATTAAAGTGCTAGAAAAATCTACCTATTCTCTGGCTTCTTTTGGACTGTAAATAATCCTTTCTAGGCAGGACTTCCCCATCTACCTATTCCTGCAAAACACTGAACACAGGAAGGTTGTAAATACTGATTATGGTACCATGAAAACAAATTCACAGAAGTAATTTCTGACAGAAAAGTTCTTTGGAACATTTTAAGCCAATGTCACAGTTCAGGCTGCCCAAGTTAGATACCTGAAAAGCCTTTTAATGAAAAAAGTAGGAAGATTTTTCAGTATTATATTCAAAACCAATTAGCTCCAGAGTCACCAAAGATCAGAAGTAATGCCTGGATTTGGAAGTATCAGTCACCCTTCACATTCTCTGTCCCATCAGACCTCTCTCCTCATGGATCAAAGAGTAAAATATGAAAGGAAATCTCTTGCAAAAATCTACTAGAAGAAAGTTTGTTAGAAAGCTGGCCTTATGCTGTTACAGGAGAGCAGCTTTTTCCTATTTTATGTCCAATGTTAAAAAAGTCCTTTTCCACTAAACTAATTCCACTATGTGCTAAAGTATCCACTAAACTGATTTTCCTGCACTGTTCTGAAGGATGGAGAATTACTTGAGGCCAGCAGATTGTTCTCTCTACAGAACACAAAGAGCCCTTAGCACTGCCCCAAGGCCAACGCTCTCCTACCACACCTTGGCTCCAGCACAAGTGCTTGTGATTGAAAATGAGAAGGAATTTTTTCTGTACCTTCCAGATGGTGCATCACAGTCCCCAGTGCCTCCCCAGGGCTGCACCCTGCAAGTGACCCGAAAATAACACCTGCAAATGCACTGACTGTGTGGTCACTAGCTGAGTGAGTTTGACTGAGACCCAAGGATGCTCTGACTGCCCCCCAAATCCTGAAACTCCTGGGGGGGATGTGAAACCTTCCAGGGAATTAACAGAGCTGATTGGCAAGGAGAGCAGGAGCATTCCCAGCTTGGGATTTCCCACAGCAGCTGCACACATGGATTTGCTGGCCTCACAGAAGGCATCAACTGCTTACAATGATCAGCAGTAAATACTCACTAGGGATACCACTGAATAAAACCAGCATCCAGCAAAGGTTTTTAAAATATTTAAATACCTACAAGCAACGAAATCTTTCTTCTGTACTAGAAACAGAAAATTGGGTTTCCTTGTTTTCTCCACTTCATGCTCCACAGGCCAGGCTATGTCTCTTTAACAAAGATAAAGCATTTTGGAAAAGAAGGACAAGGCCATGAACACTTTGGAATGTGCCAAGTAAGAGAACTGAAGTTTTTCAAATTAGAATCTCTTCCACAGTGCAGATTCAATGCTGACTGCCAGCAGGGTTATAATATCTATATCCAGCTGAAACTCAGCAGCCTGACTGATGTAAGTCACTACAAGAATTTTGGAATTGTTGCTATTAAGGACATAGACAGGACAGCCATAGTTCTATTGTGTTAGTTTAAAATTAGGTCAATTATTTGGGTTTCAAAACGTGGACTCAGAACCTAAATTTAGGCACTTCCTACCAATCCTGGCCTCTGTGACTCATGTATACACCTTCATGTTCAACTTCAAGGACAGGGTGGAATTTGCAGAATTCTGGAGCTCATTCTCTCCAGAAATCTGTGTGAAAGCATCACCAGGAATAGCCAGTTCTTGGCCAAAGAAGCTAAAGATAAACAATTGCTGCTTTCAAACAAACTATTTCTAATGTATGTCCATTGCAGGACAAACCTGACATCCCCACTACTAATGTGTCAAAGAGAGTAAAGAAAGAGTCACAATTCCAAATACAAGTTACACTAGGACTAAAGGACAGGCAGGCAGTATCCACTAAACATCTGATGGTCACTTCAAAACTATACACCAGATAACCTGTACCTCAGAGAAATCACTTTTACTACATAAAGCCAGCTCAGAAAGCTTGCAAAATTCTTAATCAAACTAAGATGTCTAATTGTTATCTAAAGACATTTTCTGATCTCATGGAATGGCTGAATTTTAATCTACAAGAAGTAGTGGCACCCTCTTTATGCCAGCTGTAAATGCACAGCCCAAATCTTGGCTAACAGGTACAGAGGAGCTACAGTACATGCATAAACATGTTCTGGCATCAGCAAATATTATTCAGGTGGCAACCACTGTTTTTCATCTGCCTTAAGTTTAGCTGCTGGAAACACGAGGAAAGAAATAATAAATATTGTATGATTATGAAGAAGCAACTTTTAACAGCAAAAAGACTAAATCAAAGCCACAAATTGGATGAAAACTAGGAGTTTCAGTGCAGAAGTCTTTTCTGGAAATGGAGTACTCAGATACTATGCAAGTTATGGAAGAAGAGGTAAAATGATAGAGGCAAACCTCAAAAGCATGGGCAACAAATTAAAGGCCAGGAAAAAGACTACTCTTTTTGATTATGTACATCTAAGGTGTATTTCTTATATGACTGGTGTTCACAGGCCCCAGCCAGCTTTCCTTAGAAGCAGGAAAATAAACATTTAGGTAAAGACTGTGATTTTGATTTTGATAGAGGTTGAGGAGATGGAAGATAATTTATTACAGAAGAATCTGCTTCTCACTGTGAAGACTCTGCAATTCCATACTTTTGGTCACCCAAAGCTCTTGGAATGAAGCCCTACAATGCTTCACAGGACAGGGTGCCTTTATATCCTCCTAAACCAGAGCTTTCAATAAGACCAGTATTGATCCAAACCTGCTCCTGGAACCACCTCCAGCCTGGAGAATCCTACCTGGGAAAGACCCAGACTGATTCCACATCATAGCTGTGCTCTTTGGTTGGCTCTGAAAGGAGCAAATACTTAAAAACCATGAGCTGGAAGCTGCAGCTCAGAAATATCAGCAGAAGGCATCCAGAGCTTTAGCATCAAATATACTCTACTTATTTTGCAGAACAGAAAAGTAAACTGAAATAAATAAATCCAGCTGGTAGGAGAGCTCCCCATTTCCACCAAGGGATGAGGCCATGGTTATCACCAGTCTGCATCACCTAACACTTCCCATTTTGGGTTCACTGTTCAGAACACAAGCACTGTGACTGGAAGCTCTCCAGACTGGCTTCCTGCTAGCTCACTTTTTTATTTTTCCTCTTATCAAACAGCTTTTGGGCTTCAAAAGCAACATTAAGGAAAAACACAAAGCTTTCAGTGGTGTTAGCTGCCATGTCTGCATGTGCCAACTGGACAAGACCAAATTGTCTCAGGCACTCCTTTACTTTACAGCTACAAACACACAAATTGCCCAGCTGGGTCCCTAAAACCATTACAATGTGTAAGGATACAACAGAGTCCAAGAGAAAATAAAAAGTTTCCTCACAATGTATCAGGAGAGAGTCCAGACAGGAACTTTGCTGTATCCAAAACTATTTTGGAATATTATTGTAAAAGGAGATTCAGGTTGCAGTAAGTGAATTACAAAAAAAAATCTTAAAAATGTGAGAACAGAACAGGACCTGGCACCCAAACATGCCCACCTGACCCCTGGGTTTGGATCATCTCCCAGATTCCACCTCATTTCTCATCCAGCACAACAGACTGTGCTTCAGAACCAAACCAGGGCAGGAAAAAGGGAAACTCTCTCTGTCAGATCCTGCCCTGCAGGTAAGACACAAAACAGATATCTGAAGAGGCCCTCACAATTACAGGTGTTACAGTTCTCTCCTCCAGATGGGATTTCTTTAGGAATTCTTCTACAATAGCATGCAAGACACTGAGACTGAGCATTTTATAAGCTGTGTTCTCTCAGCTCCTCCATCTACAGCTTTCAAAAGTACAAATAATTCAAATTTACATGGAATATAATGTATATTGTGATCACTGTTGTATAAAAACACTAGGGGGAAAAAAATGGATGATACTTCAAATTTCAAGTTGAATATCCAGAATAATCTTTGACTTTAACTGGTTTATTGTGTCATCATCTTATGGAACACCATCCTGTCTCATATAGATGATCATTATTGTGTATGTTCAGCACAAATAAGACCCTAAAATACATGAAGAAGTCTCTTCCATGAGAAGTTTAATGGCTTTACCAACTAAAGCAGGTATTTAAAAACCTGGTTTAAATGCCAACACACTCATGCACTGAGCACTGTCAGAAAGCACTGAGAGGTGCAACACAGCTGGGTGAGCAGAGCCAGCCTGGGCTCTGCAGGGCCAGGCAGGGCTGGAGCACACAACTCCAGCTCTCAGGTGGGGTGGGATGGGGTGCTTGTGTGATTTAAAATACCACAGCACCCATCCCAGTGCTGTGACACCCATC